GTCCATAAATGGAAAATGCTAGAAGGGCTTGCAGATTTTGGTTTATAGTCATATAAGGACGTTTCACCGGCTATCTTGTTTAGCCTTGTGGCTCAACCAGCTCTAGTTAGTAGTATTGTTGAGGCATATCTTGTTTAGCCTTGTGGCTCAACCGACTCTAGTTAGTACCATTGTTGAGGCACAGCAGGAGGATGGGGAGATGAAGTCCATCCACGTTCAGATTTCAGGCGGCGATAATGTAGAGGGCTGGACCTTGTATTCTGTAATACCCCTAATTTTAAAAGGATAGTCTCGGTATTTTAATTATTGTTTTTATTTTTATTTTGGGTGATTAATTGCGTCTTGGCTTAATTATTTAACTGTTTTATTATTTAGTTTGATTTAATGGTTTAATTGTATTTAATAATTATTTAATTATTTATATTTAATTGGTGCTTTAACTATTTAATTACATTACGTGATTTATTGGTTTAAATTGAATTTAACTGTTTTGATTATTTATTGTGGCTGTATTAATTGTTTGCACACATAGTTGCAAATTAGGTTTTGTTTATGGGCCGAGTAAGTCAGTTTAGGGTTTAATATATTTCACGGTTAACCGACTTAGTTTCCCGTTTAGTATTAGGACTACAATTAGGGTAAACCTATGTGCCTATAAATATGTATATTAAGGTTCTGCTTAGGGTTTTAGAACCCTATTCACGGCACAGTGAAGGCAAAGAGACGTTTAGAGAAGTCTGGGAGAAAACTGAAGGAAAACAGAACGTTCGCTGGAGAATTGAGTAAGACGTCGGTGTAAGGTTTCGGATTGAGACCTAAAGGCAAGTTCTAATCCTAACTCTATCTCTTTAGCTCATGTGCTTTGCATGTCTAACTCAATTCTAGGAACAGAGAAAGATTAAAATCAATTTATTACGCATGTTTGCATTGTCTGTATCAATATGCGTTCATGAACTGTTAACTTCTTGTTTTACATTCTTTGTACATAATTCATAACTTAAATTGATGACAGTTGATGAATAATGAATTTTACTAGTTCTGAAACACATGGGGAAACATTAGAATTAATCTGGTTCACTTGGTTGAACGTCTTAAAACAGAACGTGTTCTTGATTAGTTAACGGGCTGGGTTAAGTTCTGTGTACATAATTCATGTTAAACTGATGCTGGTAATTGAACAAGGAATTTAATGGGTCCAGGAACCTATTGGGACTTAGTTTAAACACCTAGGTACCTTAGGGATGGAGGACAATCCGTCGGAGAACCGCCGGAGTTGAAAGAGACGAAGAGCAGAAGGAGAACCGGTTCCCGTTGAAGGGGAGCAGGCTCCCCAAATGAAAGAGCAAGCTCCCTCAAAGAGGGAGCCAGCTTTGGAGGCCATGGAGGCGGCTCCCCATGGTGGGGAGCTGGCTCCAAGTGTTAGAGCGTAGGCTCTCTCTTTGAGGGAGCAGGCTTTCTCCAATTTTCTCATTTTTTTTTTGGTTTTTTGGCGACAGTTTGGGCTACAAGGCTTGGATTTTGGGATTTTCAGATTTTGTTAAGAGGTATATTAGGGGTTGTCAGTATGTTCTAAGGCCATATTAAAACTTCCAAGGGTTGGTTGATGTGTATTAAAACACTAGGGTACAGTGAAACATTACACAAATTGTTACATGCAAATCTGGATACTGTTATTGGAGATGAAGAGTTTTAAGTGCTTATGATTAATTTAGCAGTTTACTATGGATGGTTACACCCTGATCAATATGGAATAGTGGTAGGAATAAGCATACCTAAATTTAACTACTGCTGGCTATGGATTTAAATGACGGTTATCAGTTATCGACTTATTTTATTTAGTGTTGGTTTGGTATAAAAAGTAAGCATGTGAATTTATATGTTCTGTTATGCTAACTTGGAATTAATTAATGTTCATATGCATGATATGTATAGTAAATTATTGGATCTTGGAAAGTAATATGTATAAGCCTGTTAATTTATAAAATTTTATCATACTTAATATGGAACAATTGATGCCTATATTTAATATATTATTATCAATTGTGGACTTTATGGAATAGTTGGTATTTACATGTATGGTTGTATTGTCAACTGCTGGATGATGGATTGCATGCACCGGTATGGGACGGTGGCCACTGTAATGGTGATCGGATGGCCATCGATAGAAGTGACCATCTCAGCTGTGGTACGCGGCGATGGTCAGAGGTTCTGGTAGAACAACCGAACCAGCCGTGGGTAGACCGGCTCTGTAACGGGGGCAAGAATAGCGGCTAGGCCCCTCTGAATGATATCCTGGTAGGCGGATCAGGTCAGCACCGATCGAGAGAAGAAGGTCGTGTCAAACTCAGACTCATGGTCGAGTGTCATGTGCGCATATCGAGGCGTGGGCCTATCACGCCCCAGATGAGCTGGCTGAGAAGGCTGAACTGGTATATGTGAATGCTCAGCTCCAGTCTGCGGTGGAGATGGTGATGGAGTGAAAGCAGGATGAGCCACAGAAGTGGATGGTATGTGGTCATCCTTAGGCTCATGAGATGGTGACTGAGGTGGGGTAGCCTGTGCTGGCTCCCGCTGTGCATAAGAGGGCTCTGCTGGCTCCTCTGTCCGTGGCCTAGTATGTCGGGTGGGCCCGTGTTGCCTGTTGGCAACGATCTTCCACTTTACCATGGCCTGCAAAAAGAAAAAGAAAAACTTGCAATGGGAGTTAGTGCCAGAATAAGAAATTTAAAAGCACAAAATAGAATCATGTATGTCAAATAAAATAGTTAACTGAATTTTGTAAAACATCTTTCTTTAAAATCCGAATTGAGCGAATGTTATTGAGTTCAATTTATTTGATTAAGGTCGAGCCTTTGTTCCTAAAGCTCGAGCCTTCCATGACATGTCAGATTTAAAGTACGGGATTACTCTTTTTATTAGCCGTATCTCATCCCAAATGGGCCAGGAGACCTAAAAGCCCACCAGATCCTTATTTTCTTCTATAAAAGAAGGCGTAAGCCTTGATAGAAGGGGTCCGAAATTTCAAGTTCTTTTTGTACGGTGTTATTCAGAAGGCTGGTAGCGTGGTGATTTTAGGGTTCCTACAACCTTGAAAATGAAGATCCTGAGAAGAGAAGTACCGTCCGTGACGATGAAGATAACTCCAACACAGATGACATCCGACATCGTCATGAGTAGCTAATCTCTCTCTTAGGGCACTAATGTAACCCAATATGATATTTGGCATTCGTTATCGGATCAGTTTCGGGTTACTCGCTGACGCACCGAGTTCTTCAAAATTCGAGTTATCACAGCAATGAAGATGAGGAAGTTCTACAACCTCACCTGAGTCTGATCTTAAAGTAACCATTGTCCTAGCTGGCCTTGTAGTAAGCCCAGAGAGGTGATTCATAGGAGGGCCTACTAAGGCTGTAAGTCTGGGCACATGAATATTTAGCCCACTATTACATGCACCCACAGATATCGTTGTCGAACTCTTACTAGGGGCCCAAAAAGGATTATGGACTTGGCCCAATTGGTTGGCAGCCCCAATTTGGCTTGCTCAAGACGTTTCGACCAAGTATGGAAAGTTGTGCACAACTACTGTAGGCGATGATGGCTGAGAATCCGTCCATGGTTGCACCGGCGATAATGAAGGCAGGGAATCCGTCCGCGCTTGCACTAGAGAGTGATTAAGAATGGCCCCAGTAGTTAGACCATCTCCAATGCAAAATGCCATTTTTGCATGTCAACTCTATATTTTGAGAGAAACTACAGTGTCAAAATGCTATATTTTAGCAATTTTGCTTCAATGGTACATTTAATCCAAAATGCTATTTTTTTTACACAATTACCATTATTTTTCAACTACCATTTCCAACGACCAATTTTCAACAACCAAATTTTTTTTTTTTTTGAGTGTTTGTATTTTATTTAGCTTATTTGCCTTATTAAAAATAATTAAAAATAATAATCATCAAATCCAACTGAGTATTGAAATTTAGGCAACTTTTGGATTAACAGACATATATATATATATAAACACAGACATATATATACACATATATACCAACACTGACATATATATATATACAGAAGCATAACACCAAACTACAAAATCTACAAGAATAAGAAGTTCAAAACCAATATATTTCAGTTTGGCAGAAGCAATAACGATAGCAATATCTATAGTTTGTGGGGTTAAGTGCAAAAAAACCCATATAATATGCTTATAGTGCATATTGCACCCTTTCCGTGCAAAAAACACTCCTAAATTATGACATTTGTGCAAATAGGTTCTATTTATAAAAATTAAACTAAAATGGCCTTAGTAACACATTTTATAATATACATAAAAAAAAATATTTTGTGAAATGACTAAAAAGGGTTTGGCCCTTTTTCATCTTGGCGGCGGCGGCGGCGGCGGCGGCGGCGGCGGTGGGTTTGTGGAGGTGGTGGCAATGCATTTTTGTGGTTATTCGACAACCTTTGATCTATCTCTGGCGAATCAAACCTAGTTTTCAGCTAATTGATATCTTTGTTCATGACGCTTTTGCTCCATCTACTCCGATGGCCGTAATTACCCTCCGCTTCGGCCACGCCTACATATTCGGCGACCAAGAATTCTTGTTGCTGGCATGGATTTGATTTCAGTACAAATTTCCCTCTCCAAAACTCTCACCCAGTCTCTCTCTCTCTCTGTTGTAAGGTATATATTAAATAGAGAATAAAAACTTTATGAAAAATATACTTTAGAATGTTTTTTTACTCTTATTCTTTAATTTGTGCTATATTTAACACAAAAATTTGACAAAATTATATTTTAACAGCTCATTAAAATTAAAGAATCATGTTAAACCTATATTTTAAAATTGCCAGTCCATTTAACGGTCCACTGGAGTTGGATCTTGATTCCAATTAGATACAAAATTGGGTCTGCTTGATGCCTCAACAGGACTGATTTCCTCCAGATTCGGCACTGTAACTTCAGGATTTTGCAACAACGATGTGGAAGGGGCCTCCATGAAAATCAGAAAAGGCGTCCACCTGGTTCGCCGCACCGCTAAAAGCCAAGACTGAGCAAAACTTGCAGACCCCTACAAGAAATAACAACGGATCAAGGAGGAGGGAAGGAAGGAAGACCACATAAGCAAGATCAAGATAAGGGAAGCGTAAAGGGCACCAATACAAAACTCAACTCTGACACGCAGAGACACCCATAGTTCAGAGGAACCCCTATTACAGGAGAGAGAAAAGTCCGTTAGACCCATCTCCTACACAGTCGTGTGATCAATTCAAAAGGATAACTTTTGTTCTACTCTTTGAATCTTCCGAAGAATACGCCAGTCCACTTCTGCAAGCACATCTGGGAACAAACACTTTGCAATCTAAATCTTCCAATTGAACTTCTTTTCCGCTTTGTTGAGAAAGGCCATGTTGTTTGGTGAGTGTCGTTGTTTGTAGTTACCATCTCGTTGGAAGAAAAATATAGAGATAGTAATTAAAACTTTAGATGGTTTGGGGATTGGATCACATAATCTTACTCCATCACAACTTGACATACAATTTTTTTTCCTTCAATAACATATTATAATTGATCCTCCGATACAGAGCATGTGGGGTAAGTCCGGGTAAATGGGAAAGCCCATCCTACGTGTAAAATTTTTGACATTTTGTCCACATGTCTTGCTGTTATTGGACAGTTATACAACCATGACGTGGTAGTCCCTAACATATTCACAGGAAGAGAGACACCAATATCACTCTCACGGCTAAAAGACTCTGCAACTGCAGGAGAAAGGGGAAGGAGAAATTGGATGGCCACCTCTCTGCTTTGCCTTTTCACCATTCTCGCCATTCTATCCCAAGTCGCTTGCGTTGATGATAAATGTGCCGCCTGTAAAGCTGTCGCGGTAAAAAAAAAATAATATTATTTTATCAAATCATCCGTAATTGTTCAAGTGTTCGATTTTCTTGATTTATTTATTTATTATTTTTTATTTGGTACGTTGTTGATTACGATCTGTGAATCTTTCATTATCTCTCTTGGTGAAAATTTTCGTTTCATGATTAGAGTGAGACTCGATTGCTGAACTGATTGAGAATAATTTTCACTACACTCTGGATCTGATTTCAGTATTTAATGATTTGCAGGGAGAGCTAGAGTTTGGACTTTCCAATGTAAGAATTTCGTTGTTCTTGAATGTTAATAATGTTTTTAAATTGCTACAATATATTATTATTATTATTATTCCTGTTTTATGGATTTGAATTTCAGTTCAATATGAGTTGCTGTTTTCCTAAACCCAATTTCTCTCTCTCTCTTTTTTTATTTTTTTATTTTAAGTCATACATGGAGGCACACATATACATTGGAAAACCTTCCACCTAAAAATTGAGTGTTGAATCCTGGAGGCTGGTGTGCTTTCTGATTCTCTTTTTCACTAACTTTATCAGCTGTACATGCATTAAGTCAGTAATTGTAACTATATGTAGACACCCTAAAACAGTAAAACCATATTCATCAACTCTTTAAATCCAACTGTTTGTTCTTGGGGATGGACGTCACTTGTGTAATTCAATGCATAAATGCTGTGTTTCATTTTTACCTACACAATAAAGGTTTTGGGACACATTTTTATCCATAAAACTTGAATTCTAAAAGATTTATTTGCACATTTACTTTCATTTTGTTTAATTTTAATACTTAAGTTCCATCTATCCATAAAACGTGGATATCTATGCTGTACGTATTTGAAAGGAATATCTATGTTTTCATATTGCATTGATCATGCTGGAATTTGGATTTATTAGCTTTGCTTTCACTGGTTGTCAGATTATGTCCAAATGTTAAGAAGAAACCATTTCTGAATGCAAATACATAAGTCATTTTATACACTTATGAAATGCTTCTACAAGTTAACTATAAGAAGTTACTTTCAACACTAACTAACTGCCTTTGAGAAAAAGTTGGAAACTGTTTCCATTTTGTGGGTCTTTTAAGAAAACACATATATGGACACACTAATTGGACTGTAGTCCAAGAAGATCAAACCTTGCACTGCTTGTTTGGAACATAATGATTACTTGATCGGTACGAGGCATTCTAGATCATGATTTCTGGAAGACATGCCTTCTAAGAATTTTTAAGTTTTTTCTTTTCAAAATTTTCTAATCTGTATGACTTTAAGAAAATTTGGACTGAAAGCACCCTCATGTAATATATTGGTAGAAGAATGTACCTTACAAAGTGAAAGGACAAATGTCTAAACCCTAAGGTTTTAGTTCCACTCTTCCGTGTCTTTTTTTTTTCCCCCCCAACTAAAAAGGGTATATTTTTCCTTCAGTAAATTCTCCAAATGTCATTGGGAATCTGGAAGTTAGGAGGAAAAGAAAATAAGTTATATGGAATTTCAAACTTTTTGGTTGTGCTATGAAACAACGAGGAAAGGAAAATATTAAGGAAGAAAAACATAGAATTTTAATTACCTTGTAGGAACCCAATTTTCCTTATAATTTTTTTTTGACAATTAAAATTGTGTTTGAAAGCCTTCAAAAGTGGAAATTTTCCTTTGAAATAGTGAGGATACATGGGAGACCCTGTGAGAAAAGCAAATGGAAGAATAAATGAATTTTTTTTCCCTCTCGTTTATGTTTTCTTTTCCTTCCCCTCACTGTTTCTTAAAACAAAGCCTTGAGTGTTATCTATGTTGATTACATTACCCAATTGTTTTTAAAGTTTCAATGACTAACTTTTTCATGGAAGGAAGTGACAAATAATTTTTAGTAGTTCTAATAGCGTTGTTACTTCTTCACTCTTCATACCTTATAACATTGACCTGCTAATTTGAATAAGGAGTAAGCTATGCAAACCTTCATATATGGAATGAAATAATGCAACTGGAGATGTATCGAATAAAACTGATGAAAATAAAGAAGAGAAGAGGCATTAGATCATGGTGAACTGGTGATGCCTGTGTAAGGGTTGATCATCTTTTTTTGCATTTCTCAGTGTGTAGAGATGTGTGGGCCAACATTCCTTGTCATTTTTGGAGTTCACCAGGTCTTGCTACCACGTTGAGCATGCTCCAGGCTTGGAGAGATTGTATGGTGGTTTCACAAGCTCGAGATGCTTGGAGGGTGACTACCCTTTTCCTGTGGTGGCGATTGTGGCAGAGGGAGAATAGGAGGTCCTTCGATGGGGAGGAAGTTCCTATTCTGGTCTTGAAATATTCTATTCTAAGTTCTTTATTCATTTGGGTCAAAGTGGGGAATTGTAAATCCTTGGGGAAGGTAGTTGATTTTGCTGATAGTTTGAGAGTATAAGGTATATGGTTGGTTAGTGGGTATAGTGCTTTTTGTATTCTTTTGGTGTGCTCCCCATTTTGGGCCCTTTTAATGAAATATATCACTTATCAAAAAACAGAAACAAAAAAAAAAAAAAAAAAAAAGGAAGAAAAGAAAAAGAAAAAAAAAAAATAAAGAAGAGAAGTTCTTATTTTTGGAATTGTGTCATTAGACTTTTAGCAATCAATGAGATGATAAGTCATTTGCACTGTTCTGTGGCTAGGGATAGTTGGGGCTTGATTTTGGCTTTCTTCGGAGTTCAATGGGTTAAGCCACTGTCTTCGCTAGGCATGATCTGGAGGTGGTGTATAGTGGGTCCCAAGTCAGGGACTTTTGGAGAGTGGCACCCTTGTGTGTTTGATGGTGCTTATGGAGGGAACGAAACATGAGATCCTTTGATGGGGAGGAGAGACTATTGAGATGCTGAAATTCTCTATCATTAGTTTTTATTTTTTGTTGGGTTTCTGGGAGAAATTGTAAATCCATGGAGGAGATAATTGTTTTTTTGGACATATTGGTTGAAGGCCCTATTTAGTCCTTCTTTGTTTTTGTGGGATGCGTTCCCCTTTTAACGCTTTCTAATACAATCTTACTTATAAAAAAAAAAAAAAGAGTCAGTTGCACTGTTTTGGCCCTTCATGCGATAGGAAACCTAGAGCAGCTGCAAGAGTCCTCTTGCAGCTTCCAAAATGCACGTAGTATAGAGTATCTCCATAGCTTCTATATTTAAGTGGATAAGTGCATTTTTATACAGACACATACTTTTTGACCTTTTAAGACACGCATCATATAGATATATATATAATTTTCAACACAACGGAACACAACAAGCCATTCAGCAACATGGTTCTGGACATTGAGCTTCTCCAAGAGTTCGGGTTTGAGTCTACCCTCCTTGTCACGCTTCATTTTTATGCCATAACATGGGAAGTAGAAGAATCCTTTTGTCAACTCCATAGGTTTCACCAAGTCAAACCATAGATTGACACTGATTTTGTCCTAATCCCTCTAATCATTCAGTCCCCCTTGCAATGGATTACATATCCTTCTTCAGCCATTCAGTTTCTGGAAATTACTTTCATCCTTTTTCTATGTTAGTAGTTCACAATGACAACAACAACAATAATAATATTAAAGCTATATTTTATCCAGGAAAAGCCAAGGAATCATCTGGATATGAGACATCGCCTGGACTCTAAAGGTCAGCGTAAAGGAAAGGTGATTGATTACAGGTATAACTTCAAAGATCTCTTAATTTACAAGGAAAAAATGAAGTTGAAAATAAGTGGCTGTGAATTGTGAATAATTTGTTTCATTCATGACATATTGATCCTGTTCTTATTATCGACTACAATGTCTTAATCTTATGCATTTAGTTTAAGCCTAGAGAAGAGGGGTTTGCATTTGGTAGCAACTAGGTAAAATCCAGAAAATCTTTATGAATCAGAATTCTAAGAGAGAGAGAATTTGTGTTGCCGACTTGAAGATTTGGCATAGGCTATATTGACTTAGTGACTTTAGCAAGCATGTCGCTATCATGTGATGCATATGATAGCTACATGCTTACGTTACGCAGTAAATAAACAAAGTAAAGACAGAGTAGAAGAGAGATACACATTTTGCGTGGAAAACCCTCAAACAAGAGAAAAAAAAAAATCATGGGACCTCATCCGGTTAGACACACTCCATATCAAGAAAGAGATGGTAAAACCAGGTCAAAATTCTGTTACACTCGAATTCCCAATTTTTTTTTTTTGATAAGTAAACAATTCAATAAAAAAGCGTTCAACAGTCTCCTCAGCGGAAGAGCATAATCTACCTGAACCCCAAAAACAAAGAGAGCTAATAGCAGAAGATTTCAGAACACTAATGGAAGATTCCTCTCCTTCAAAGGATCTTCTATTCCGCTCCCTCCACAAGCACCACCAAAGACACAAAGGCGCCATCTTCCAGAACCCTTGAGCCTGTGCTTCCACCCAATCCCCTCTCCAGATGTCCATCAAGCCTCTAGTAGATCTAGGCATTACCCAACAAACTCCAAATAAACCTAGCAAAAGGTTCCAACAATCCACCACCACTGGACAATGCAAAAGAAGATGATCAACCAACTCGCCATTGCAGTTGCACATGCAACACCAATTCACCGTAATAAGCTTTCTCCTTCTCAAATTATCCAGTGTCAAAATTTTACCCCACACAACCGTCCAAGTGAAAAAAGCCACTTTCAATGGTGCCTTAGTACGCCACATTGCCTTCCAAGGGAAGACCAACCATCCGAGTCCAAAAGGCATCCGAAGAAAGATCTCACACTAAACAATCCTCCAGCAGAAGGATCTCACACTCGAAGAAAGATCTCACACTCGAATTCCCAATTGATCTCTAGATACAGTAGAATACAAAATCTTCTGTACCGTTGAAGATCTTGATGTCATTCTTTTCATCTGTCAACAGCCTTCGCTCCTCTAGTGATTGATCGCTGTCTTTGTAGTCTATTGTTCCGGTTGATTTGATGCAGAACTGATCATACAGTTTCTTGGATTTTTAGTAAACACTCAGGAATAATTTATTATGGTTCCTAAGTTGAATATGTGGAGAATTTCTAAGAGTGTAAAATAAAGAAAAACTTCATAAACTCACTCTACATCTCTCGAAATCTCTCCAAGTGTTTATCTATGTTAATGCATGAAAGGCCATGCTCTCAATCTGAATTCTGACCTAAATCCATATTTATTGTCAATAGAAGAGTCCATCATGTTTTAAATCATTAAACCCAATTAAAACACTGATTTTCAAGAGTTCTGACAGTTGCAGGATTCCAATACTTTGATTGATTGAGAGATCGGTCGAACCTTACTGCCGACTCTTCAATTGATTGACCCCGTTGATCAAAGCTTACTGGATATATATATATATTAAACAGGCATTGTATTAATAAACAAAAGATGGAACATTCAGTAAATGGTGAACACAGTGAGGGCATACCCTCACATTACAACCAGAACTTGAAAAATAGAAAAATACCACTTCCAGTACTATAGAAAACAGAAATGAAAAACAATGTAAATCCTACACATTCCTGTTTTTATAATTTATGATTATGATAGATGATGTCTGATCATAGCTTTGGCAATGAAGTGTCAAGTTGAAGCTGAAATCCCCTTTGCTTGTCTAAGGGCTGTAATTGCATTTTAGAATAAATAATTTATTCCTAAAATTTTGAGAAAATATGTTGAGGATACCTGAAGCAAACAGAAAAAGAAACAAATCTTCTTACAGTAGTAAGGAAGACTTGAAATACTTCAATCACTGTCGGAGCCTAGATTTCTAAAGGAAATCTGGAAAAGCCTGAAGAACTGTTTATAACTGATAATAACTCAAAATATATTGATTGTGACTTGAATACAACAGATATAGAGGTCTGTCCTTTTTATAATAAGACTATTAATGACTCTTCAATTCTCTAGATTGACTTTTGGACTATCTAGACCGACTTTTGGACTACCCACAGAGCATTAATAACAACTTCTATTCCCAGGACATGTTCAGATTTCCACACCATAATTACTATTTATTAGACTTTGACTAAACACTTTTCTGCATCAGACCCTCCTCCTTGAAGGAAACTCGCCCTCGAGTTTGAAACAGTTTACCACGATCAATGAAGAACCCGAGTAAAGCCTTCCATCCTTTCTTTCTTCTTTTCCATACTCTAACCAAACACCCTAATCTTCTGTTACTAATAACTAATATATTTGCACAAACTTTCAGAGCTCTTTTTTGAAATTTAGTAAATTTCCAAACCCTGCTTGAACATAGATTGGGAACCAAAAGTTGATTTAATCTGTTCTTTGCATTGGAACAACACCTAGCTATATGTTGCGCCAAGAATCCATCCCAAATTAAGTCATGAATATGAAATCCATTATTTGTCAAATCCATGAATGAAGAAACTTTATTTCTGGCGAAATTATTCAAGAAACTTAAATCTGACATACCACGTCCCATTGAATAAACAGGAGTCTCATGACCCTCAAAGGTGTACTGCTTAAAACCAGTAGCAACATCCCATAGCTTAATTGCCTTGGCCTCTCCACAAGTTATGAAGCATAACTGTTGGTTTGGATGAGAGAATGCAAGATCACTAACACCATCAACCTGAGCATCAATCTCTAGGTGGTTCCGTACATCCTCACCACCATGGTAGGAATATATCTGCTGACTGTTCTTGGAGTATGCAACACCAAAAGGGTGCCATCAGAACTCCATATCACTCTTTTTACTGATGCAGGATACTCATTGGCCTAAGTTTCCTGCAGAGTCACTGACATAATCCAAGGTTACAGACCTTGAAATTTCTTGAAACAAGCATCTCCTTGCCACCAACCTCCCACAATGCGACATAACCAATATTCGTTCCGGGAGGAGGCAGAGTTTGTTGCACAGGATGGAAATCCATCCTCTTCATAGCAGAACCCTGATTCAGATTTGCAAGTAGAGTTTAAGGAATATCGACAGTAGAATATAAGATGTGGGTATAGCTCTGACCAGGATTTACAATAGGCAAGATTTTAGCAGAGAAATTGTTGACAAATCTATGAAGTGCAGGTTGAACAGTGACAGCTTCTTCAACTTTAAACAAGTTGTTGATTGCTTCCTTAGATTTCTTCTCTGTTTTCATACCTGCTTCATTGTCTTCTTCAATTTCAGCTTCTGACATGTTGTTGGCTGATTCTTTAGACTTTTCCTCTTTTGCCTTATTTTTTTCTTCATATTCCTCTTCATTGTTGTCAAATTCTGGAAGTGAGGAAGTTGAATGCAATCCAAAGATCTCATCTTCTTCTTCAACACATCCAAAAGAGTCATCAAAGGTTGAGATGACACCTGTTGGGATTTGTGTGCCCTGGCATAGCAAACTCTTATTTGAATTGCAAAGACACTGTTCCTTATCTGAAATAAGATTTATGCATTATACAATTGGTGAATGTAAATGTATAATGTTTCAATTTCATGATGTAATTGAATGTGTCCACTTGATTGCAAAATGTATTTATATGTATGTGATGGCGATCAATACAGGAATATAAATAACAATCATAAATGGTTCGAAGTGGGTAATTTAGGATGGACTATTAATTAACTAAGACATAAACCGAATCCGCGATGGGTATAGATATATTGCGAGAGCCATCATATGCAGTTACTCCCCATCACCGTCATTGCTTTTGACTCTCAAGCATAAGAGAAGTTTAGACTCTTTTATTAATTAGTAATTACTTTGATTTGTTCGGCGGAGCTTCCGGGATCCTATGACCGGCACTTTGGGTAATTATGTAATTAATATTTAGAGGGTTATATTCTCAATATTTGCATCCATGCAACTTGTATTTATTTTGTATTAATTATGGTTGATCACAAAGTAAATTCGGGGGCCTCCGTGTGTTTTAGACAAAATAGTTTTTTATGTATTTATTTGCTAAATTATTATTTTTGTCGAGACAAATGTTTTGTTGTGATCAAGCCAGGAAATAATTAAGGAACCAAAATAAACATATTAATTAAGAAGTGGCTTTAATTATCAGATAGCTAATTATGCATAGAGGGTTCAAAATTGCAACATTGACTTAGTGGTTATTTACTATTTGATTGGAGGCCAATTAATTTCTTGCAGTAGAAATTCATTTTTGAATTAATTGAATTAGGTCCATGGTAGTTGGACCGGATCAATTATTAATTCATTGCCAAGAAAATAGTAAGCCCAAAGGTTTCTCACTTATAGCCCAACTTGATATTGGTGGTCCATGAGATTGAGAATTGATATTGCCACTCCATGTGTCTATAAGATCTGTTTATAACTGATAATAACTCAAAATATATTGATTATGACTTGAATACAACAGATATAGTCTGTCCTTTTGATAATAAGACTATTAATGACTCTTCAATTCTCTAGACTGACTTTTGGACTTTCTCAACTGACTTTTGGACTACCCACAGAGCATTAATAACAACTTCTATTCCCAGAACATATTCAGATTTCCACACCAAAATTACTATTTACTAGACTTTGACTAAACACTTTTCAAGGCACCATTGACTGCCTCAATCCTTAGTAAAGCACCATAAATTATTTGCATCAATACCAGAGTAATTTGTTGTTGTTGTGTAATTTGATCTACTGGCAACTTTGACTAGGGCAGCTTAGTTTCAGAATCTACAGGAGATGGCTCTGAAATTCCACCAAATGTGAGGGGAGGGCGGTGTATTGTATCCAAGAGAAATATTAATTGAACTATGAAATAGCATTTGGCATATTTTAATATGACTTATGAGTCAAAGAATCACAATTGCATTTCAACATTAGTCTCTTTTAGATACTTTTATGTGTTTTTGCATCATCATCTCTCTCTCTCTCTCACACACACACACACTCACACGCACACAAACACACACACATGTATGAGTGTCTAATGATTGCTCACTATGCCTTAATTTCAAATAGGGTCAGTGATTTGAGGGTTGTTGAACTCCTGGATGGGCTTTGTGAAAAGATGCAAGATTACACTCTTGAGAAGGTAATTCTTCCTTTAAATTGGTCTCCTTATCTCCCACTATGGGAAGGGCAACTCATGGTCCACAAAATCCATTTAATAGCATTTAATTTGTACAAACTGTTTGAAAAATACATTTTAAATCGTGCACTTTCTCCTAACAATTAGTACTTGGATATATATATATATATATTTATTTATTTGATAAATAAGAGTATATGAGAAATTAGTACTTGGATATATTGACTCCTCCATTGTAGGTACCCTAGGGCTGGATGCGAAAAAGAGGTGGGTTAGTGTCAGGTAGACAACCGATTGTAAAATTTATGTCATATCTTTATGATGAATTCTCTTTCGAATAAAATAGAACAAATAAAAAATATTAAAGAACAAACATTTAGAATAGGAACATGGATATTTACGTGGAAGGGTAGTGAACTCATGGCACACTTAAAAGGAAATTATTATTTTTTTAAATAGCTTGTCTTCAAGAAACCAAATGGAAAGGGAAAAAAGGTCTAGAGAGAATGGGAAGGATACAAACATTTTTATTTGGGTGGCAAAGATAATCACGAAAATGGAGTAGGTATAGTAGTACGCCGATATATGAGAAAAAAAGTTGTAGAAGTTAAAAGAAAAGTGGATGGGCTAATAACTATTAAACTAGTGTTAAACACATTTGTATTAAATTAAAAAGTGTTTGTGCACCACAAGGATGACTAGTTGAAACATTTTTTTTTTTTTTTTTTTGATAAGTAAAAAATATATTAGAAAAACGTTCAAAAGGGGAACTCGTCCCATATACACAAAAACGAAAAAGCAAAAGCCAGAACTACGGACCAACAAAGTCCAATAGAACAAAAAAATCATCAATCGAGGAGCAAGCGCTACCTCTAACATAAAAGAAAAGAGAGCGTAGAATAAGAGACTTTAGGTTTGCAAAAGACGATTCCTTTCCTTCAAAATTTCTGTTATTTCTCTCACTCCAAATACACCACCAAACATAGGGTGGGGCGACCCTCCAAAAATCACTAGCATGACCAGTAACAGGGCATCTTCTCCAAGCATTAATTAATTGGAAAGAGTGCTTAGGCATTACCCATTGAACACCAAAAATACTGAATATGAGATTCCAACAATCAGATGCAACAGGACAATGCATAAGAAGATGGTCCGCGGACTCACCATCAGTTTTACAGAGACAGCACCAGTTAACAATGACATTACCTCTCTTATGCAGATTATCCAATGTTAGAATTTTCCCCCAGGTAACGGTCCAAACAAAGAAGGCGACTCTAAGAGGAGCTTTAGAGCGCCAAATACACTTCCATGGGAAATTATGTCCAATAAAATTAGACAAACACAAGAACATGGATCGAACTTCGTATCTTCCATGAAGAGAGGGGGTCCACAAAATGTCATCACTACCTCCGCCAACATCCTGCTGTCTGTACAACAGGTTCAAAAAGACGCAAACTTCTGTTATCTCCCAATCCTGAAAAGAGCGCCTAAAACGTACATCCCACGTAACTCCACTGTTATCAAGATGATAACAGTCAATTACGTAAGCATGCTTATTCTCGGTAATGCAAAAGAGACGAGGAAAGGAGAGAGACAACAACTGGTCAACACACCATAAGTCCTCCCAAAATCTAACATTCATGCTATTACGAACCTTGAACCGAATATGGGTGGAAAACACATCCCATCCTTTCCGAATGAACTTCCAAACGCCAACGCCCCCGGTAATAGTAACAGGACGAGAGGACCAACCTCCACTCTCTTCCCCAAAATGACACGAAATAACTCTTCTCCATTTTCGATGATGCTCTTTACCGAACCTCCATAACCACCAGTGGCGTAGCCATATAAGGATAAGTGGGGGCAGCTGCCCCCACTGAATTTTTAATTTTTTTTTAATTTTATATGGAAAGATTTTTATATTTGTATAATTGTCCCCACTAAAAGTTGACATTGCACATATATATACTATATATATATATATAACCAAATGACCATTAACGGTATTATAAAAAAAAAAAAGGAATATAATCTTTCCAAAAAATATGATATTTTTTTTTCCACTTTCTCAAAATATTATATTCTTACCCACTTTCCCCAAAAATACAAGATATTCTTTCACACTTTTGACTTTACTACAAACAAATGCATTGTTAATTTCCATCACATTTCTCTTTCGGCGAGTCTTCAATATTTCAAAAATTCACAAAATCCAAACAAATACTGCAGTGCGGAGACAGGTAATCTGATATATATTTTTTTATCATCTAAATTTACTATTATTATGCCATGAATATTTTGAAAATTCGACTGCGTGCGTTCAGAATATGAAAAATATTCGGAAATATTTAGTACTGTTTAATTTTTACATATATTATTTTGGTTCAAATAATATATATATATATATATATATATTATTGATATATATATTATTGCTGTTAAAAATTGCCCCACTGAAGGAAATTTCTGGCTGCGCCACTGATAACCACTTCCCCAGTAAGGCTCTATTAAAAAGGACCAACTTCCGAATACCTAAACCGCCAAACTTTAAAGGTTTGCAAACCTGCTCCCAATTAACAAGATGATACTTAAACTCCTCTCCTTTTCCACCCCAAAGAAAATCTCTCTAAATTTTTTCGATCCGTTTAGCAACAGAGCACGGGAGTTGAAATAAAGGTAAGAAATATGTGGGAAGGGACGAGAGGGTGCTCTTAATAAGAATGACCTTCCCCCCTTTCGAAAGATACTGTTTTTTCCACCCTGCCAATCTTTTTTCATACCTGTTGATCATTGGATCCCAAGTCCCCAATCTCTTGGAGAAGATTCTCAAAGGTAATCCCAGATAAGGGAGTGGAAAAGCACCCACTCCACACCCAAGAACAGCAGCTAAGGAGGAAATGTCAGAGACATCCCCCACTGGGACAAGCACACTCTTTCCAACATTAATCTTAAGGCCCAGACACCGCTTGGAAACATGTAAGGATGCACCTCAAATACCTGAGTTGGGAAACATCAGCATCACAGAAAACCAAAGTGACATCTGCAAACAACAAATGGGATATCTTAATCTGATTAGCAACATCTCTGCCAACTGTGAACTCCCTTATGTAACCCAGATCCTCTGCCTTTTTCATTAATCTACTCAATCCCTCAATGACAATAAGGAATAGAAAAGACGACAAATGATCTCCTTGTCTCAAACCACTCGAACTTGGGAAAAAACCAGCAGGAGAGCCGTTCACAAGCACAGAGAACATAACGGACGAGATGCAAGATTCAATCCATTTTATCCATCGAATCCCCGAACCCCATTCTCCGAAGTAAGTAAAGAAGAAATTTCCAATTCACATGATCATAAGCTTTCTCGATATCAAGTTTGCATAAGACACCAGGAACTTCACTCTTCAACCTGGAGTCAACACATTCTCCTGCGATAAGAACGGTATCGAAAATCTGTCTACCACCAACAAAAGCATTTTGTGACTCTGAGATAATTCCATCCAAAACATTTCGCATTCTTATAACAAGGACCTTGGCAATAAGCTTATACATACACCCCACTAGACTGATTGGCCGGAAGTCCTTAATGTTAGAGGCTTTGCCCTTCTTAGGAATAAGAGCAATAAAAGATGCATTCAATGATTTCTCAAATGTGCCATGAGAATGAAAATCTTGAAAAGTGCCCATGACCACATTACGCACCACTTCCCAGCTTTCCTTAAGAAACCGCATAGTGAAGCCATCTGACCCTGGAGCTTTATCACCATTACAATTGGATAACGCCTTAAGAACTTCTTCAGAGAACGGAACCTCAAGTAAATCACTATCTAGCGTAGAAATAGCATCGAAATGCAAACCGTCAAGTTTTGGTTTTTATTCCAAAGTCTCAGTATAGAGCTGCTGATAAAAAGAAACAATTCCCCCACGCACCTCATCTTCTTTCCACAACTCTGAACCATTCACACAAATACGCCAAATGTTATTGTATCTTCTATGAGCGTGAGCAAGCCTGTGAAAGAATTTAGTATTGTGGTCACCTTCTTTAAGCCACAAAGCCCAAGATTTCTGACGCCACGAAATCTCCTCCATAGTAGCAATCTCAGCAAAAGTCGTCTGACAAGAAACTCTTCTAGAGCGTAGAGACTCCGTACCTTTTCCTAGCTCATCAAGACGATCAAGTTCAGCAATCTCAGCCAGGACTCTATTTTTCTTCCATTCAAGATTCCCAAACACCTCTTTGTTCCATTTCTTAAGCTCAGATTTGAGAATCTGAAACTTCTTAGCAAGCATATAGCTGTTAGAGCCTGTAAACGTTGCTTCCCCCCACCAGGACTGGACCTGCCCTTGGAAGTCTTCAGCTCTCAACCACATATTTTTGAAACGAAATGGTGTGTGTCTAGATCTCATACCTCCACAATCAAGAACTAAGGGCACATGATCAGACGTGACTCTAACCAAAGCTGCCTGAGTGACATCTGGGAACTTCTCCTCCCAATCTCCAGAAATCAGGAATCTATTAAGCCTTGATAGAGTAACTGGGTCTCTGCCGCTAGACCAAGTGAAGGTTGCCCCTTCCAATGGCAAATCAATAAGAAGGTGACCATCAATAAAGTCAGAGAACTGGGTCATCTTCGAAGACCACCTCCCCCCTGTGGATCTCTTAAATGGAGACCGAACAGAATTGAAATCCCCGCCTAAGCACTAAGGCAACGACCACAGTTCCATAATGTAACTAAGTTCTTGCCAAAAAACAGGTCTTATCACAATCAATAACGGGTCCATAAACTCCAGAAAAGACCTAACTGAAGTTATCATCTTCCATCTGAAACACGCATGACAAAGAAAATAACCCTTTCCAGAAATTCGTTCTGGACATCCATCTGCGATCCCACATAATAAGAATGCCACCTGATGTACCAGAGCTGTTCAAGGCTTCCCAATCCACAAACCTACTTCCCCAAAGACTTATAACCACAACATCAAAAATAGAAGCCAACTTGGTT